TTCATAGATATTTAGTTTATTCAAATATGGTACAAATACTTTTAAATATATTTCATCATCTAAAACAAATACTGATCCTGCAAGATTTATTTACAGCAATCACTACTTGCTACCTCTAGATTGTATACACTTAGAAAAACATTTTACTGTAAAAATGCATGAACTCGATTTAGCAAGATGGTTTATTAGACCTATAACATACAATAACAAATACATTTTTATATGCTTAAACAACTTTTGAATGCAAAAAAAAAAATTAAAACTTAAAAATGCATTCTTTGGCATGAAGATATATTTTACTCTTTTTTTCTGTCACTGGGAAGACAACCTTGCCAACAGACAAAAAGAGCAATGCAGAAAGAGGAAAGAATGCCTTTTTGAGTGAGATCATTTTGGAAAATTTTGGAAATTGTAGCTTAACGTTTATGTCACACATTAACAAATTGGAAACAAAAAACTGTACATAAATAGATTATGCTAAATTGATTTCCTGAGTAAATTGATATCAGTTATAAATTTTACGATATAACTGAGCTTGAATGTGTTAACAAATTTTAAAATAATAAAAAGTGATTTTTTAATTAATTAAAAAAAAAAATTCTTTCCAGTCAAAAGCTCTTAGTAAACATCCAAGAACTTCCTAGTCAATGCACCTCTCCAGCCAGTGAAGTAAGGTCGAGTGTACCAGAGAATTCCATAGCAGACGACAGCTGCACAGACTCGCAGAAATGAAGACACTGAGGGCAAAAAGTAGCTTAGACCCAGAGGTCCGAAGATTGGCCCAACATCTTCATCCTCATATAGACCATCAGTTGAATATTGGAGTCTTTCTAAAAGCTATGCAATTTTATAAAATATTTCAAAGACATGAACATGAGTACAAGAGTATGTCAATTTTCATAACGAGGCCAGATTTGAGATTTAACATTCACATATTATTTATTTTAAATTTATATTTAAAAGTATCATGCGAAAATAAATACATACATGAACTAGTGGGAATGTATACATTATATTACAGACTCACTAAGGTTATATTACAGACATGCAACTGTATTAATCTTTAGTGACTATTTAATTATACTGTACCTCCTTGACTGCTCTTTCACCAGACTGAATGGCTCCATCCATGTATCCCGACCACCTTGTAGCAGTTTCTGTCCCAGCAAAATGGACCTTTCCAAATGGTTCCCTCATCACTCTGAAATTGGATGAGCATTTTTTTTTAGTCTTAAAATCACAATCTAAGGGAATTCTCCAGGATTCAAAGAGTGCAGCTGAGTATCTAAAGATGGCAGTTTCAACTGACTTGCATTCATTGTTTTCCAGTCGAAGCTTTCACTTAAAGTTCACAATTTTTTTTTTTTTTTATTTTTTTTTTTTGGGGGGGGGGGGGGGGACATCATACCATATGATGCCTTAGTTGTTTACAAAAATTTTAACAACATTATTTATATTGCTTGCTCTTCCCTTGAAAATAAGTTACAGATTTCTCTTTGCTTATTATTCTTCTTGTTACTTCAAAAATCAACTGAATGAATAGATAGATTTTCAAAAACCAACAAATGATGTCATTGTGAATGAAAATTGAAATATAAAAAGTTACCTCCCATATACAGACAAAACACCAGGTGGCATCACAGCTGAGTAGCATCCCCCTGAGTATTCTTCTTGCATCCAGTTCTGTTCTTCATAACCAATGGACTGAATTAAAAAAAGAAGAACAAAATCATCAACTTGGTATGAAGTAAAGATATTTGACCTATACAGTGTATAAACCTCTTTAAAGTGCATGTCAATGTTTTCAGCTTAAAATTCAACAATAGGCCTTAATGGTCACTTGAGTCATGAGTTTCTCAGAATATGACCACTTTATCACTACCTAAATAGGTACACCTGGTCTCAAGGAGCAAAAGTTTGGATAGGGCTCCATAATCATTATCAATTATTTATTTATGCAGCTTGCCTCCAAAAAAGTTCAAGAGTAAAGAAAATAAGTTAAAACTGTACAATGAATTTCTATGTGACCAACTTAGCCCCACCCTGAGGCCTGAACAAAATATTTATTATGAGAAATTTAGCAGAGGGCTAGGTGTTTTAATATTCTACAAACAGTTTGTCTGCTATATGTTCACAAGTAAAGAAGATTTTAAAAGATGCAATGTATTTTTAATTAATGATCAACTTAGCTTCACCCTAGGACCTGAGTTGATTGCTAAATGAGAGAAGAATATTTTCAAAGATGTTATGTACTTTCAATACAAGACCAACTGCCCTACTCAAGGACTGAACATGAACTCAGAGGTCAGGAAATTCAAAATTTTAGTAAAAGGCTGAGTACTCATTTTAATAGTTTAAATAGTCTGTCTGCAAGATGTTTGACAAGATTTCATGTGATATAATACATTTCTAATATATAGTAAAACTCAGATATACCAAAGTCCTTTGGACCTCTGAATTAACTTTGCTATATCCATAATTCCTTATATTTATACAATGAATTCATTTCAGTATACATAGCAAATTCTCAATATACATTTTCCTTATCAAATATAAAACTTATTCCTTGGATTACTTAAGTTTTCTGATGAATTTCAAATATAAATACTTATGAAAAAAATATGTCAGTTCAATATTTTAAATTTTGAGATCTTTAAAAATTCATTATAAAAGATGTCAATTAATATCATTATTTTCAACTTCCATGGGATACAAAATCTGTTCATTATATCCATAAATTCACTATTTCAGATTTCCTTTAAATTGTAAATTTTCCAAGGAATTGCAAAAAAATTTAATGGGACCCCCCCCCCCAAAAAAAATCAATCTGTAAATTTGCTATATCCTTGATTGTACTGAGCATGTTTCACTGTCTGACTAATTTAGCTCCACTTTGGAGCCTTAGCCCTGAAACCAGGGAACATGAATTTCACAATTTTGATATAGGCCTCATTGCTTATTACAACTTGGTTGTTTTTGGCCCATCCCTCAAGACCCAGGGAGACAGAGACCATGATTTTTTTTTTTTAATTGTTCCCTTTCTGTTTATATATAGATGTTATATACCAAAATTGGTAGGAATGTTGGCTCAACCATTCCAGAGAATAAGCTGAAAATGTTCAAATGTTAACAGAAAACTAATGACCCAAATGACAGATGAAAACACATAGCAATAGGTCACCCGAGTGACTCAGGTGACCTAAATAAACATAAGTCCACTATACTTTTTCCATTATTATTTTACAATTTCATCTTAAAAAGTATCTGTATGTTTGTATCTCAGAAGTGTACATTTCTTCTTTGAAGTCTCCAAATTGAAAACTGTTCATTCATTGAAACAAATATACAATAAGAAATGTCAGAGTTAAGCATACAAAAAAAAATTTTTGTTCAATAACAAAAGTGTGAATGTTTACATGAAACATCCCCTCTTAATTTTATGCATACACTTTTAGACTTAATTAAGTCAATGTTTATTCATACCTTAAGAAACTCTTGATTTCTGAAAACTGTAGCATAGTGCCTACAAATAGCTCTTCTCCTAAAAAAAAGAAAGAAAACAGCTCAAAAGTTTTTCTTTGATAATGCTTTAACATAAAATTTTCCTTCATTTTCTTGACCACTTCTGAATCAAGTATCTGAAAAGATACTTTTAATATATGGTAGAAGTATAGTATCACTACCATACAGTAAGCACAAAGTTACTTTTATAACATGCAATGGACATTTGCAATATATTTTTGTCACATACATGAATAAGTACCATTCATTTAATATACTGTAAATGACTTTTTCTTTGGGAGAACTTTATTTCTGCATAATTACCTGAGACTGCATGTTCGTGGAAATTTTTATCCTGGTGTATATTGTATGATTAAAGATTACATACAGCAATAAAAAAAAAACAAGAAAATTTTTCCTCAGTTATTAATACCAAATAACTATCTCAAGAAGATAGGGTATTGCAAAAATTTTGTGATCTACAGTATGCATGCATTTATATTATTTTATAGTCTTTAAAATCATTATTTATTCATGTAAATGTACATGCACTTACAGCCTGTTCTTAGTGGTAAATAGCAGCACTATCAGCCAAAATTCAAATAATCTGTAGACATTCCATTCTTTTTTTCTTTTTTGATTTATTAATGAAATTTTGTAAATATGAACTAGTATTACTGATGAGATCAAGTAAAACTTCTGAATATATAAATCACCTTTCCTCTTTTGTCAATGCACATAAATCTCGAGCCTGATTAGCTAATAGGAATCCCATTATTCCAGGGGAACTTCCGTCTGGTTTTGTGTCATCAAATGAAACAACTATAGGACCATTGTCACTGGCTGCAATCCCATTAAAATCTGTAAGAACAACAAATTACACATTAACACAGGAGGGACAGATTTCAGCCATTCAATATATGTATGACAGACATTATTAATAAATACTGTATAACTAGTTCAAAAAGTTTAAAATTTTATTTATTCAAATTTACATGACAGTATACATGAAGATAGCAACCCCTTGTAGACACAAAATAAGATTTCATAAGATCCCATCCCCCACTTTTCGATTTCCTAAATGCCCTCTGTAGTTATTGTGACAAATATGGCACACTGAATACTAATGCAGCATGCAAATGCGAGATCACAACATTTATTTATTTTACACCAAGTGTGTAATAGGGCTGTGTATTGAGCAAAAAATTTTGATATGATATGATACAATATTTTATAAAGCAATATGCAATATATTAGATTCCTTAACAAGTCTATCAAAAAAGTCTTATAAATCATTTAGTGCATAAATTTTATTAAAAACTGAATGTTTTATAAACCATTTTGAAGTTCTTGTCTCACTGTCATAACAAAATACACCTCAAATTTAAACTTTTAATGACAGTAAAACCAACATGTTAAATTACAATTGTCCATGTATATTGTAATAATTATTTTAAGATGTGGTATCTCCTTAATGCTCATATCATTATTGACCAGTTTTAATTCAAAACAGTTAAATATAATCTTTGGTGGTTGAAATTCCCAATTTTTTCACAGAATTATAAGAAAAACTGCCTGCCCGATACATATTGGAAGTTATTTATTCCATATGATAGACTTCCTGAATATCGGTACATATCAATATATTGACACAGCCCTAATACCAACTGAAAGCATTTGAAGCTCTTCTTAATAGAGATAAAATGTAATATCTTTCCTATTAATAGAAAATATTCTGGAATGTTAGATAAACAATTTTAAAAAAGTGTTACTTCGTGAAATGTTAATTTTAAAAAAGAATTTGGTGAGATTCTCTCTGATAAAGAATAGTTCATGCAATATTCTTAACATCGGCAAATATGCAGTAGGTGGAATGAATTAATGTGAAATCGTGATTGTTTATGGGGGACCAACGTTCATGAATTTCATAGGTCATCTTTTCCCATGTATTAACATATCCCTACATGAACATTAACTTTGTCAATGTGTCAGCTCACTGAATCTACAGTATATATGAGTTATCCATGAAATTATGTCCCAGCAAACCATTCAAATATTTAGGTTGCTCATGAAATTTGACCCCAACAAATTAAAATGATTCCACAGTACCAGTAAATGTGGTGATGTTAGTAAACATAAGCTGTTAACCAAATGTCTAAGCTTACTTTCATATGAAAAGTTGTTCCTGATAACAAATAATACAGATATTTAATGAGGTAATGGATGTGTTATATGTATAGACATACATTAGCTTTCAAATATTCAGAAAATATTTTAATACAAATTGTATCAATTGTGAATCAAACCCAAGGAAATTAATTTGTTCTTGTTGTTTCATTTTTAATCTCCCTTCAATTAAAAAATACAATGACAGGTAATAATGATGAAAAAAAAAGTAATATCTGTTTTCTAAAAATTACACTGAATTCAAAATGTATGTACTATAAATCAGAATTCTGTTAAGTTATTTGAAAATTGATTTTTCTTGAATTTGAACATCACTAATTTATCTTAGTAAAACAGAAATATAAGAAGCAATACAGAGGTAAAAACATTCAACAAAGTAAAACAACTAGCAACAAATTGAACAAGTGGATATCGGAGAATTGTTTCTTTACATTGTTTACATTTTTTTTCAGGTTTATTCAAATTTGAAAAAAAACTGTAGGAAGGATATAAAAAGGAGGGGTGATGTATTTTTGTGATAGTGACACCATGGTTCATTAAAATAATGACTCAGATCAAATCTGTGTCTATATGCACACAACTGAACAACATGTACATTATCTACTCTACAGGGATACCAGTGCATCAAGTACCCTGGTATGATGTCTGTCAAGCAAAGACTTTTCAAGATATGTAGTGCTCAGCCTCTTCCTATGTCCATTTTGACCCTTGACCTTGTGACCTAAAATCAATAAGAATCATCTACTCTTTAAGGAAAACCAATGTCCCAGGTTTTATAACTGTCAAGCAAAGTGTTCTCAAGATATTGATAGGACAAACCACCCCCAGTTCAATATTCAATGTTGAAAAATGAACCCTTGTTCAATTTTCAACCCATATCAAAATTCTTCGTTACACTGGATTTGACTTTGTAGTAGATTTTTTTCTCAGTATTGTTAAAAAATGTCAATAAACATTTTTGACTAAAAGAAATAATCTTGATTAAATATTTATGACTTTCTCAATGATTTTCTGAAATTCGTGTGCCTGTTGGTTTCTTTCTGTTCATGCTTGACTTTGGTTAATTTACCAGACGGAAAACTTATGCAAATCAGGGATAAATTTTTTTAATTTTAAAAGTTGAGACAAAGAATGTCACTGAAGTTAAGAAGTGGTATCAACTTAACCATATATTACATAGGCATCAGAAGCAAAATGAAAGATGAAAGTTGGGGGGGGGGGGGGGGGGCTAAACCAACAAAAAATGTTTGGGGGCTAAGCCCCAATTTTCAATGCCTGTATTATGTGACTGTCTATCTTTGCAAAAAAGGGGGCTAAGCCCCCCTAGCCCCCCCCCCCCAAATTCCAATGCCTATGTATCAAATCTAAAGGACTGACATAAAATTGAAAAACTGACTCATTTTCCCCCCACTTTTGTAGGGACAGTAACAAGAGGCCCATGGGCCACATCGCTCACCTGAGCACATTGGCTAGGCAAAAGCACAAAAGCACAAATCAGTTCAGTATTGAAAAGGTTACGGGGGGGGGGGGGGGGGGGGGGAGGAGGGGGGGATACCTGATGATGCTTCCATGTCAATATAACAAATGGCTTTGTTGTACTTGAGTAAATTTTGAAAAATTTTTCCCATATAATCCTTTGTAAAAATTTGATCCCCCATTGTGGCTCCTCCCTATCCCAGAGGTCAATATTTGAAAATTTGAATCTACACTACCTGAGGATGCTTCCATTTCAATATGACTAAACATAGCTTTTCTGTTCTTGAGAAGAAATATTTTTTCTGCATGTTCTTATGTAAAACTTTCAATCCCCCATTGGGCCCCACCCTACCCCAGGGGTCATCATTTGAACAAATTTGAATTTACACTATCTGAGGATGCTTCCATATCAAAATGACTAAACATGATTTTCAGTTCTTGAGAAGAGGATATTTTCCTATATGTTCCTATGTAAAATTTTCGACCCCCCATTGTGGCCCATCCCTATCCCCGGGGGGTCATCATTTTAACAAACTTGAATTTACACTACCTGAGGATGCTTCCATATCAAAATGACTAATCATGGCTTTACAGTTCTTCATCAGAAGATATTTACCTATATATTTCTATTTAAGACTTTGATCCTCCATTGTGGCCCCGCCCTACCCCAGGGGGTCATGATTTGAACAATCTTGAATTTACACAACCTGAGGATACTTCCAAATAAATATGATCAATCAGGGCTTTGCTGTTCCTGAGAAGAAGATTTTTAAAATTTTTCCTATATATTTCTATGTAAAACTTTGATCCTCCATTGTGGCCCCGCCCTACACCAAGGGGTCATGATTTGAACAAATTTGAATTTTTACTACCTGAGGATGCTTCCACATAAATATGACCAATCAAGGCTTTGCTGTTCCTGAGAAGAAGATTTTTTAAAGATTTTTCCTATATATTTCTATGTAAAACTTTGATCCTCCATTGTGGCCCCGCCCTACCCTCGGGGGTCATGATTTGAACAAATTTGAATTTTTACTACCTGAGGATGCTTCCATATAAATATGACTAATCAGGGCTTTGCTGTTCTTGAGAAGAAGATTTTTTAAAGATTTTTCCTATACATTTCTATGTAAAACTTTGATCCTCCATTGTGGCCCTGCCCTACCCTCGGGGGTCATGATTTGAACAAACTTGAATCTTCACTACTTGAGGATGCTTCCATATAAATATGACTCATCATGGCTTTGCTGTTCTTGAGAAGAAGATTTTTAAAGGTTTTTCCTATTTATTTCTATGTAAAACTTTGATCCTCAATTGTGGCCCCGCCCTACCCCCGGGTGTCATGATTTGAACAAACTTGAATCTACACTACCTGAGGATGCTTTCATATAAATATGACCAATTAGGGCTTTGCTGTTCTTGAGAAGAAGATTTTTAAAGATTTTTCCTATATATTTCTATGTAAAACTTTGATCCTCCATTGTGGCCCCGCCCTACCCCCGGGGGTCATGATTTGAACAAATTTGAATTTTTACTACCTGAGCATGCTTCTATATAAATATGACTCATCATGGCTTTGCTGTTCTTGAGAAGAAGATTTTTAAAGGTTTTTCCTATATATTTCTATGTAAAACTTTGATCCTCCATTGTGGCCCTGCCCTACCCCCGGGGGTCATGATTTGAACAAACTTGAATCTACACTACCTGAGAATGCTTCCACATGAGTTTCATCTTCCCTGGCTCTGTTGTTCTTGACAAGAAGATTTTTAAAAGATGCTATTAATTTTCACTAATTCTTTATTATCTCCCCTTGAAAGAGGGCATGGCCCTTCATTTGAACAAACTTGAATCCCCTTCACCCAAGGATACTTTGTGGCAAGTTTGGTTGAAATCGGCTCAGTGGTTCTTGAGAAGAAGATGAAAATGTGAAAAGTTTACGACAACAACGACGCCGACGACGCCGACGCCGACAGACAACGGACAAATTTTGATCAGAAAAGCTCACTTGAGCCTTTGGCTCAGGTGAGCTAAAAAGCCATTCCAGCTAGATTTTTGCAATAACTAGCCCCATTGAGCTAGATCTGAAAAAAAGTTTTTGGCATACACTATACTTGTGTAAAAGATTTGATCATGATCTGGTTAAAATAATTTTAATGGAAATGTTTTAAAGACAAAATGTATCAATTACAACTCATATTACCGTACATTGATAAAAAAATATTTTGTTTGGCTTAAATCCCTTTCATTGAGTAGATCAATGCTTGTAAAATTAATGAAGCTGACTGTTTTTGTTTTTTTTTTTTGCTTTTTTTAATAGATTTTCTTACCCAGATCTCTCCAGAATGCTGTTTTGTAATAAGTAACGGTCTTTATTATAGATCCCATTGGTATTCGCTGAATCAGCTGTTGCTTAAGATCAGGCAGAGCAGGAGTGAAGTGTATTTTATTCAGAATTGTTAATGGCACTGCTGATATAACATATCTAGCCTACAGATACATGAAAGTAAAAAAAAAATCATGAAAAGAAACAAAAGAATTCAACAAAAACTGAACTGTTTATGCTCTAATATACATCAACACATAAAAACATCACTACATGTCATGCATTTTCTAACATTGTACATGAAGCATAGACATTGTACATGAAGCATTGAACATCCATATTTTGCCAAGGAAATAATCTCTGATTTTATAATTATTACAACCAACCTCATCCCCTTCCCCTAAAAAAAAAAAACAAAAGTAGAAATATGGATCTTATATTTACAGGTATGTACTGAATGTATCCTGGAATATTGTAACTGCTAAAGAGAATATAAAAGTACAGTACTAGTACATGTTGTGCGAAATGTCTTGCTATGAGGTACCAATAAGTCCACAGAATTTAATGGTGAATAAGCAGATTGTCAATCTGATACAATGGGGGGGGATGTTTAAAACCAAACTGACAAATCTTTGGTATTCAACATGTTTAAGTTTGAAATCCTGAACTTTGTGTGTGTGAATGCATGTGCAAGTGCACACCTGTGCACAGGCATGTATGTGTCACACACATCATTTAGTTTCAGTATCTTCAGAAACTTCAAAGTTTGCAGCTTAAGCACAATTCATCCCCCTAACTCTTGACTTTGGCAATATATAAGGCCAAAATAAAATTGATTCGTGTGAAAAAAAAACCAGTTACATGTACAATATATACTTGATGTGAAGTTGAAATTCAGAACAAACTATCCCTCCATTTCTCTGCAGCTATACTAGGATGACTTGCTGTTCATTTGCATAGTTCCCTTAGGTTCTCAGCAGGTCATGTGACCTGAGAGGTATATAAACTGACACAGTCAGATTGATTAGTTAGTCTGTTGCTGATGGTTCATGAGGTAACACTGATCAGAAAAGAAAAGCCAAATGTGGGAGGCACTGTTAGTGGTACATGAGTAGAGTCTTACAAGCCTGAAATAGGCTTTGGAGACTTTGGTAGTATGTATAGCTAAAACATATTTAATATCAATACAGTTTTGGCTCAGAAGAGCAGCTGCAAGCACTCCAGAAAAATGGCAGATTTATTGTAAATAATGCTTATCTAAATCTGTAAATCTTCGGAAAGTGAATATTGAAAGGGGAAAAAATGGCAAATACATGTAAATTTTAAATGTACAATTGTTTCATTTTTACAACAATTTAATAAGGTAATTGATTTTAATTAAATTAAGCCAAAACAATATACATTTTGGTTGTTCCTAATGTACTGAGTGTATGCAGTTCCTATTTTTATATGCGCCATGCAAATGTTTCGTGTGTATTATAGGGTACTGAACGTTGCAGATTTCCAGTGGATTTCATAAAGAAAATTACTCTAAATGTAAGTAAATACACATAATCTATTTGGGCATTCTTTCCAACCTGAGATGATTTCCTGTGTTTACATCTCTTATTAGAACATTCTGTGTATACCTGATATTTTTTCCCATTTATATCCTCTATTAAAACATCCTGGTTCTCTTCTTGCTGAATTTTGACTACAGCTGAGTTCAGATGAACCTTATTTCCGAGTTCTGCTGCCATCTTTAAACACACTTGTTGAGATCCACCAACAAACTTCCGTTCCTACAATAATCAAAAAATAATTAAATGATGTGCACTTCTGAATTTCAGACAACATGTTCAGTTTCCATACAAGTAGAATGCACTGCAATATGGAGAGGAAAAAAACTCAAAGGCTCCGGGGGGGGGGGGGGGGGGGGACTGGTATATTTCACGAAATTAGTACACCGAAATAAAATATTAAAATATTGAGCCTACGAATATTATTCATATAATGATGTTCATTTAAGTATTTCCAGATTTTAAGCATTATTCACTCTTATCCAGCAAGTGTTTGTCTTTTTCTAACAAACAAATCCACTACAATGAAATATTACTATTGACAAATGATTTCAGCTCCTTAAAGCATAATCTGTATACTTGAACTCCCATGCAGACTTGGACATGATCTCCACAAATTTACAACAGTTATTTCCCTTATCCGAATCCCACTCATAACTGTGCTGACATTAACTCTTTTAGTTGTCCCCTCCCCCCTTACCTTACCCAAGCTCTCTTTCCGACCTCTGACATGACTGCCATTCCCTCTCCACTATTCAACCCTACTCTTAGCAACATTGAAAAATTATATAACAAATAACAGTAAGCTCCCTTGTTGACCTTTGACATGACCATCCTCCCCCCTCTGAACAGAAATATATATCAGAACTTTGGGATTTTTTTGGATGAAATACTTCCATTCCAAAACTTTGAACAGTTACAAAATGAAAACTTTACCTTTTAGTTTCTAATATAATCATTATATATGTTCCTTGTTTCACAAAATACCTTATGTGTCAACTATCACCTGTTTAATATATATATAATATAAAGTTGACAGTGTAATCAACATGTACTTGATCTCGCTGCACTAACAGATTATGTATGACATCACTGACTCGTTAGACATGCAGTGAAGGGGAAACAGAGGAGTGGATCAACTTTTTTCACAATTTGTTGATATTTACATGAATGTTAAATCTTTCAAATATTTTTATATAAGGTGATAAAGCAGAACAATTTGTAGGAAAAATACACAACTACTGGTGATTTTAAATAATGTTTAGCATTAACAGGGACTATGACATGGGCAATTGTGTCATGTGACTTGTGTCCTGCTTCCCTTTTAGTATTTCCTTGATCTAAGCCCTGGTCCCTGACATGACCCTTACTCTTTTGTATGAGAGGCATTTGAAAACTACTGATTATTGTTTGATAAAATATGAACAGTTAAAGGGAAGTTAATGTTTTGATATCATCAATTAGAGCAGGAGAATTGTATTGTGAAGTCAATAAGTATTTTTACAAGGTCTATGACAGCTAAAGTAAGTTTATAATTCATTATCCTGTGAGTTCAGAATACAGACCATAAGAATTACGAAGAAAGAGAACAATACATGTAGTTCATTGAAGTAAAGACTGCACATTATGGGATGCACGCCAATGGACTTTACATTACCAGATTGGATGAAGTTTAATTTGATGAAACTCTGTCACATGCAGTCATAATAAGGTATTCAAAAAATTTCAATTTTGTCTAAAAGTTGTCAAAATGGCTCATTTTTGTTAAAACTTGCTCTAAATATTGGGTCAAGAAGTCAATAGAGTGAAAAGGAAATGATTAAAATTCAGGAAAGATTGGTAAAGCTTTCCCTATTCTCTCAATTGGAGTCCATGTAGATATACTGACAATAAAAATAATCTCATCATTACTCCATATGTTATGACTTATGAAAAATATGTTTTGAAAAGTCTTTAAATAGAAGTCTTTTATAGCCGTGATTCTAACATCCTTATTTGGTCAAAAAAGCCATTTTCAAGCATACTTAACACACAGGGTTATGACATCATTTTAGGAGTCATATACCTGTCACAAACACTACTAAGCTATGTCACAATACATGTATATTTTTCTGATCTTATGTTATCAAAAACATTAACTTAATTAAGTTAAATTTCATCAAACAATCATCAAACTTTTCAATTGCCTATTGTGCCATTACTCAGTTGTCTCCCTTACCTGTGCTCCCCTCTTGACCTCTGACATGATCTCCACTCCCCCTCCGCTGTGCACATACCACAACAGGGACAGAAGTGATACTTCATGAGGCTCAGCACACATGATAGACTGGATAAATACCTTAATGATGCTAGCGACACATCTGGAACAAAGCAACACTATAAAGTCTTAAGCAGTAAAATTTACAGAACTTAAACAATTAACAGAGCAGAGAGTTAATCTATACATATTGGCACTTAAATCAAGGGTGCATTTACTGTAGCATCATGCAAGTTCATGGGGACCTATTTGTTCCTAGATTTCAAGGGTCATCCTAACCCACAAATTTACATCCCCATGTAAAATAACTTTATCAAGGTATATCTTAAATGTTTATATTACAGTAACTACTTGAAATCAGGAATTTCATGTATTTCCTAAAAACATTCAGTAAATACATGTACATGTATTTACTGGCTGTTTTAGGAAATACATGTAATGACTGATGAGGCTAAGAATAACATGTACTTACTGAAAAATTTAGTTGATTTTACATGTTTTTACTGATTTTGAGTTGAAAACTATTATGCTTATAAAAGTAGGATGTATGTCTACACATATTACTGTAGATTCCTTTGCTGCCAAATAACGAGAATAATTATTCGTGAGTGGCCGGTTGATCAAGAGATTTTACATGGATTTCAGCCCCATAAAAATAAAACCGAGTAATTTTATTTCGCAATTTGTGCTTCTCGCGTAATTAATTCCTGGCATATATTTAGGAATCTATCAAATTGTATCTTCCCAAGATTTCCTTTTTTCCAAATTTAAAAATTTCAAAATTGTTAAAAAAATCACTAAATCTGTAGATGTTTTGCTAATGTATGCTTGTGTATTATGTACATACAAGTAATACTGCAGCAGCTGTTCAGGTCTTCCACTTTATATAAAAGTTACATTTACGGTGATAGCGACCTTTATTTATAGTGAATGTTTTTATTAAAGCAAAGCAGACTCTTTTGATTTTATACACTTATTTTTTTTAATAATGAAACACATATTACTTAGTAACTAAATTTCAAGCATACCCTGGTAATCAGTTATTTAAAAATTAAAAAAATAAATGTGCCTTGAAGATATATAATAATCTTCTCTTGTCTTTTTCCACTGCTGCTCAAGACTCAGGGCACCAAGTCTTTGTAAAATTTTATCAAACTTTCCTTTTTGTAATCAAAGTTTTGATACCAAGCCTAGAGGTCCGTATGTATAAAAGCTATTCACTGAGTCAGTAAGTGAAACATTAAAATTGCTTTGCATAAAAATCTATGGTTCATGGTTTTATTTATAACACCAAAAACAGTCAGTAAAAACTTATAAAAATTATTGAAAAATTAAGTAAATACACATACCGGTATTTCCTAACTGATAACAGTAAATACATGTATTTCCCAAGCAGGGTAGGAATTTCACGTATTTCCTAAAATTCAGGAAATACATAAAATTCCTGATTACACATATTTACCTTAATCCAGGAAATTATGTTCCCATGAACCAGTCAAATTTTGGGTGCCCATGAATATTGAGCCTCAAAAATTAAAATGAGCCCACAGAATTTGATGATACTGTGTATACATATATAGATTACCTGGAAAATTACCAGCTGGAGAACCAGTGATCAATTATTTGATTAAAGTTTCCTTTGGAGAACCTGTACCCAGCAACAGTTTTAAATGATGGCTGTGCTTTGTGTCTGTATTCAGTACTAAATATTATTATACAATTATAGCCTTTTGATGAGGTCAATCCCTAGATATATAGACCTTATAGAGAAAGCATACAAGGGTTGTTAGAAAAGTTCGCGGACACCTTGATTTAAGGAAAATATATTGTAAACTTTGAAGAATGACGTATGTCTAATTGAATTCTTATCTTTTGTTTATTAGTATGTAAAAGATCATGTCCATTTACTAACATTTTGAAAATATACTTCGATTTTTACTGCGCGGTCATCGGATTCACGGAGCAATCACTTGACGTTTTATGACGGTAGGTGATGTGACAACCTGATTCCAGACCTGTGAAGATTTTTCACAGTTGTAAATATCTTTCATATCTATAGACTTTTCCTGTCCTTTTCTGACTTAAAAATTAAATAAGTATATCAAGACATGTTATATATTTTTAATGTCTTTTGTGGCGTATCGGATATTAGTGAGATCTTTAAAACAATGTCTATGCAGTTCAGCGATCAGTTATGAGAAACAATGCAAAATCCATTGGCGCAACGTCCATGCGATGAGCAGGATATTTGGGTATCGCAGGAGTTGATAATCAAAAATGCCCATCCTTCCATTAATTCTTACAAAGTTGCTACCACTTGAACACTTTGGTACTAGATACGTGTAAGCCATCCCCAACAGCATCTAAAAACATTTTAGTCTCTTTCGGGCATTTCCCTGTCTGCACACATATTTTTAATAGCTCGGTGCTCCAAGACGTTCAATGACGTTACCATTTCTTGGCTATGTTTTTACGCATTGATCATCTATAATTAGTGATAAAATAGTCATAACTCCTCCAATTTAATTCAAAATTTCGCCAAATGACGTTTCATAAATATCTTAGCGAGAGGTGAAATATCATAAATCTTTATGCGCTAGTGCAATTTTTAATTTCAAAATTATGTCTCTGAAATGTAAAAGTGCGAAAAAGTAACATGCTCCGTGAAGCATATTTTATCTAAATAATTTCGCTGTTTATTTTTTAAAGATCATCGGAAAACACCAAATTTTTGCATATTAATTGGAAAATACGTATAATTTTTACCTGCAGAGTTTTACTGATTTCATGCAAATAGGACGCTCACAATAGAACTTGTCCGCGAACTTTTCTAACAACCCTCGTATTGACCGAGCACGAAGTGCGAGGTCAATATGCTTTCTCTAAGGTCTATATATCTAGGGATTGTACAGAATCAAAAGGCTACAATTGTTTTATTACTTTTTTTTTTAATTAGTTAATAAGAAATGTCTTAAAATCTGTGTTTCTAATACTCAATACTTTCTCATAAAAGGCATTGTTATGTCATTCACATTATGAAGTCACAGTAACGAATGGCAGCTGCAGTATCTGTTTTTAGAAACATCCAATTTATAAAGACTATTGTGACGTCAGCACTATTGTTGCTTCACAGAAGAAGTTTCCAATTTTAGAAACAGCAGGTTTATAATTTTTTTAAGAAGCTTAAAATAGAAATACCCAGTTTATAAGACTTTTTATAGTTGATCATGTGATCCAGTTTGAGCCAATCAGATAGCTGGCAACAAAAGAGAAAAATAATAAAGTGTACTATACTATATTATAGTATTATAAGTTTTAATTTGCCTTACTTTGACCAACAGTTTCTGTCTATAAATTCTTGAGCTGTGATGTTGTCCCATTCCACTGCTTTTTTAGCAGTCCAGGGAGTATGAATAGGTACCTGAATTGTATGAGAAAATATTTATTGAAAATTCAGTGACTGGCATGTAATTATGATTTTATTCAGCTATATACATGTATTACACAACATTTTTAAAAACTTTCAGAGTTCAATCTTTGTTTTCATCAAAAACAAGAGGCCTATGGGCCACAATGATCACCTGAGTAACTTTGGCCATGCTGTTCTTCACCAGATTTCCCCCCTTGTAATACTTATTGTGGTGCCATCCTAACCCTGGGGGTCATAATTTGAACAATTTAGAATCTACCTCAGGAAGCTTCCTTTTAAATTTCAGATTTTCTGCCCCAGTGGTTATTGGGAAGAAGATTTTTCCTTTATATTTCAATGTAAAACTTTGATTCCCTATTGTGGCCCCTACCTACCCGGGGGGGGGGGGGGGGGGGGGGGGGGAGGGGGGGGCATGATTTGAACAATTTACAATCTGCACTACCTCAGGAGGCTTCCACATAAGTTTCAGCTTTTCTGGCCCAGTGGTTCTTGAGAAGATGATTTTTTAATGACCCCACCCTATTTTTGTCTTTTCTTGATTATCTACCCTTGGAAGGGGGCTTGACAATTTGAATTTTGAACGCCCATTTACCCAAGGATGCTTTGTAGTAACTTTGCTTAAAATTGGCCAAGTGGTTCTGTGATTCTTGAGAATAAGCTGAAAATGTGAAAAGTTTACATGTACAGACGGACGGATGATGGGAAACGGGTGATAAGAAAAGCTCCATTGAGCCTTCAGCTCAGGTGAGCTAATAAAAATACTGTTATGAGAATCTAAAGAAAAATATAAGCTATTTTACCACAGCAGAACATGCTTATATCTAGAACACTTATAATGAATTCACACTTACATGGAAATAATTTTCAATCTCCTTGGTTTTAAAATGAATTATGGTACACTTATCATATAATTATATATATACTTATCATATATATATTCTTATCATATATGTATACTTATCATAAATGCATAATGCATTACAGGGATAATTTGATGTGAGCTACAGTCCCAACTACTTTTTCTTTCTTTTTTAACCTAGTTATCTTGAATTCCGGAACATCTTGAAGTTTATTCTTGGTCACATCGACTTCATGATAGGGAGTTTGTCTGTATGTTTATCAAAATTGTTTATCCTTGGCACTTCTATATATATATATATTGGTTTTCAAAAATGGTTAGTCACTTTGGAACTGTGCAACTCAGATTAGCTCTCAAGTATTTAATTGAAATACTTAATAAACATCTACAAAATAATTTTCTGAATGATGTACCTCTTTTGCCATATGGTCAATTGTCCTCACAATGTGATTCAAATCAAGAATTCTGAAAGGACTCCAAAATGGTGGAATTACTCCACGGTAGTGAATTGTTCCATGCTGAAAACAAATCAATGCCTTCTTATTATATTATCTCTTTTAATTTAGAGATTTTGTTATTCATTTCAACTACGAGGGGTAATCAAAAAGTGCATGAACTAATTGAATTACTTCCATAAAAGAAATCAAAAAAGGTTTCAGTGTTTATTATTCTTTAAAGTAGGCCTCTCTGATTTTAATGCACATACATGTATATCAGCCTTCTATCCTGTACAACACGCATGTGCCAAGCGGTCACGTGACAAGCTCATGCGTACATGTTTATTACCTTTAAATGATTTTGTTCCTTACCGTTGACAGATCAAGAACAGTCTTTCCTTTGTGAAATACATGGTATGTATCTATCTCAAGTTCTTCAGCAAGTTTGATAATTCTGTCCTGATGGGGGCCAATGTAAGCTCCTCCTAAATCCACAGGCCCATGTTCCTCTGTCTAGCAATAATCAAAAAATTTCATTGAAAAAAAAAATACATTAACAGTATTTAACACCATGACTTTCTTTAGAGATTATTCATTTAATATTGAAGTGCACAGTGAGATACTATGCAGCACAGAAGCATGTTGGTAAAAACAAGATTTCATGAATTATAAACAGACCTTGAATGACCACAATAAATTGTGCTAAAGTTTGGATTTGATTCTCTGTTAAAACCTTTTTTCCCATTAGATCTGACATTTTATTTTTTTTATTTACAAATCTGTTTCTTAGCAAACTGTTCTGATAGTTGATTTTCAAAGTTAAGGGGATACCAGAATCACATAGGGTACTCTTTTCCTTTAGAAGTATATCTTTAGTTATCTTAATTTATTTACTTCAGAATTAACACTAAAGCATGCAACATAATATATAGAAAGTTTCTTTAATGTTGATTGTAACACTATCTCATTATTATATTTTATCACTGCTTGTGTACTATTTTGGTGTAAAGCCTCCCTCCAACTCTTTCTCTGGCCTCTAGCACAATTACTCTCAACCCTTTCTGTGTTAAACATCTGGCTGCATAGAGACCTGAAAATCAAATGGGATTTTGATAATGATTCCTAAAAGATATGCCTTCTTAATATGAAATAAAACACATGAGACATAAACAATAATCAAAATTAACATCCAAGTTTAATATGTCAACCATAAAATATTTGAACATGTAATTGAATTATTACAGGATATAATCTATATCTGAGACTAGAATTGATTTATGAAACTTACAGTTACATAAACAATCTTTCTTTTTGAAGTAATTAGTTAAAACATAATAATAAGAGATACTGTACTGTACTATCAACTTTAACTTTACTATCTAAAAAAAATTGAAATGTTTTAATTACTCTAACTCTACTTTATCTATTATATTGAAATCAGTAGCACCTTTTCCATCGATATCTCAGACATATGCATCAACATGCTCATTTTTACAATATGTCAGCCATTTTTATGATTCAAGGTCTATGTCAAAGGTTTGTCACAGGGCTCAAATAATTGATGGCCCACTGGTCTGGGGCCAGTAAATTTTCAATCCGGGCTAATACATTGCAGAAGGCATGTGCCCTTTGGGTCAGCATTTTTTTATGCATAATAGAATTCTTTCATAGTCGGGCTAGTTAACTTGACAGGGTTGTGTGTCCCAACTTCTGCTGCTTCTTGTTTTGTTAAGTTGTACTTCTAAGTATCACAATATAAAAAATATTACTATCATTGTTATAGTTTTGGGCCAGTCTTTTTTAAATCTACTGGCCCAGTGGGACAGTGAAAGTACTAAGCTGACCAGTAAAAATTTAAGGTGATAGCCCGAGTGACCAGTAAACAAAAATAATTATTTCTAGCCATGCGTCATAACATACCATATTAAATACAGCTAAAATTATCTTATTTAAATTTCATCTCATGCAGTACACCTTGGCCAGGAGATAACATTTAAGCAACATTATTACATATATAAAATATGTTATATTAATGTTATTTTTTCTGTTGTTGATATTTTTCATAAAATACAGTGTACATTTTAATAATACTTATAATATTAAATCATTAAAAACTAATTTTGTATGTTTACAAGTTTAAGAAAAAGGGAAAAAACTAAATTGCAAAAAAATTCAATACCTTGACGGATTGTAGATTCTATACCTTGACAGATTGTAGAGGGCACTGGTGACAAAGTTAGAGTTCATTGGATGTAATATAATGGATGTGATTCACGTTCTATTTAGTGGAGTTATACAAGCCCAGTAACTGCACTTTTTTGTTATTAGTAATAAAAACAATGTTTGGGCTCATTGCTAAGTGTAGAAAACAAAAAATGAATCAACAAATAATTCAGAGTAATGTGGCGTGTTTTCTGCTCATGGTGACAGCAGTTTGGGTACTCTGAGGGATACCGTTCATCATGACACATTTCGATTGAAGTAGGTTACTGATACTGCAATGGAATCTTTACAAACAGAATTTTGAGGAATAGAATTTTGTATAATTGATATTTCAATAAGGCAACGATTTTATAAATACAATAGTGACTTTTTAGAAACTATTTTTAATTTTTAAAAACTTTTCACACAACAAAAATTAAAACAGATAAGTATCTATACGTATCTTGATGCCTAAGTAAAAAATATTGATATATAACAGTACCTTTTTTTGCGTATGGATACTCATCCCTACTATACAACGATGCATTCGTGAACTACTGTAATCCGAATTTACTCAGTACTCATGTGTAGAATGCCATTTTAATGCAAAGAGCCCTATCAAATTACACTTTTCGGCTGCAAATAAATCATTTTAGACGATAGCTATTCGTACATACCACTCACTCCTGCTCCAATTACACAAATATCGAAACTGTTTTTCTCGGTCATAACAGGTAAATCTGTGGTGTTAACTTCCGGTTTGTGTTTTGCTAATTTGTTCTTAGAAACTGTCTCGACGGAAAAATTGATACTCTGGATTTTTATTGCCTGTGTTCGAACCCAAGAATATCTTTTTTTTTTTTTTAATCATAGAATGATTTCTGCCGAGAGAATTTTCAGCAGAAAAGTTTTGTTTGTCATACTTTCATACCTTTCAACGATGTAGACACTTTACTCTAAATACAAATTCACAAATTGAATATGACTTTTATACATTTAAAACTATAGGCATTTTTCAAGCCTTACTCACTCATTTTCTTGGTAAATTATGAAGCCAATCGTCTGAGAACACAGATACACCAAAGCTCCAAAAGTGATAAAATTAGCATGCACACCCCTCCCCCTTTTTTTCCCGGCACGGTGGGAGTCAACGCCCTCTCCATTTTAGCTTTACGCTTGTCTTGCTGAATTATATTCACGATTGAAATTAGCGATCATCACAACTCTTTTTATTTGGGATGTTCCAACAATTTAATAGATATTATTCATTTATTTAATTATATCTTTTATTTTAGTTCTATTTATTTATTTTAATTACACATGTATATTTATTTATTTTATTTATTTCAATATTTATTTTTTATTTTATTTCAAATATTTACAACTATTCTCATTTAAGACAGCAAGTGTTGCTAGTGTCAAGAAATGAAAAGTTATGAGAGGTAAAAAGGTACTAATAACAATTCTTCTGCGTAAGTTTCTAAGACGACGGAGTGAACGGAGCAAGGCACGTTTCCACCATGCAGTAAGTGATATACATTGCAAAAGGATAGCCAGCATGAAACTGCTACAGAAGAATGCCAACTTTTTTACAATAATGATGGGTTATATTTTTTAATAAAGTCATTATAATGACCATAGAACTTACGAAATGAGGTTGTTAAGATCCCTGTTACATCAACTTATCTGTCAGTAGTCTGTCTCGATCTAAAAATTGATCGTCCTCAGAGCATGCTCTTGAGTATCGAATAAGTTGGAAGACATAAACTCCGTATGCAGCTGATAGCGGAATATTACTACAACTGACGATGGAAAATTTTAAGTCATCCCGTTTGTCATACAATTAATCAATTTAGTTGTTAGTTGGCCCTTATCGTCTATATAGTCAGTAAAACATCGAAATATGAGACAGATGTGGCAGACTCTGTGGTGTCTTTTATTTCAATTTCACTGGAATTAACTATTGTTAATTAAAACGTCGTCGAGATATAAGCAAGTGTTTTCTTCTTCTCATGTAGAAGTTTTTTAAAATTTTTTTTTATTTTTAAAATTAATTCTGCTTCATAGGAAGTTAAATACGAAATTATGCGATTTCTATTATTATGGAAGAAGCAGTTGCCTATAATATCAAAAGTCCTAGCGTTGAATTTCCCTTGAGGAATGCTTGTATAAAGTCGTTACATTTTGATATTATTGACTTAAGAAAAATTTAGTGATTGTAAATCTAAATTTGAGAATCCACATCTGATTTACACCACTTCTAGAATATGCTATAGCATAGTACGTCTGAAGTTTCTCCTTTACACCGGTTATTCATTTTAGGAGTAAAGATATGAGCTTGGTTGAGCATTTCCTGGATTCGGCAATTTATCTTGGTTTATAAGGATTTTTATGAAGTTTAGGATTCCAGTATAAGTAACCCCACCCCCATTTTCAGTATTATAATATTTATATTGCAAATTACCTTGTAACCCCCCCCCCCTGGAAAAAAGGACTTTTCGTAAAGTATGTAAAAGAAGCTTGTCCACGAGAAATATTTAAACCCCCTCCTCCTCCACAAATATTGTGTTATGTTTTGGCTTTTTTGGTGACAGAGAGAGAGAAGGGGGGGGGAGAGTTGAAATGAACCTCACTGGATCCGCCCTTGTACTCAATAACATGAATGGTATTACTCATGTAAGCTATTCACCATGAATGATGAAAAAATACCCTGATATAATGATGATCGAATAAGTGGTTTTCGTATTTAATTAAAAAGTGATGTGTCAAAAGTCTATTATTGGATAAATATACAAAGTTCACCTAGACAAAAGAACAGATGTATACTTGTACATGTATTCGACTATGAAATAAAATCTATTTTTCAATTAGTCAATATATAAACTTAGAGCCTGAAAAATGAATTATCTTTTTCAATTTTGATTAGTGAATGCGAAATCTGCTTTCAGGGCCGTAAATGGACACAAATTTGAGGCGAGGCTTCTGGGGGCCACTCAGGTCCCATGTGGGTCCAGGGGATGATGGGCAGAAGCTCATGTCAAACTTTTTAATTTTTCGCTTGTTTATATTTTATGAATTTTGCCGTGTAAACAGTAGCCCTCTTCAAAACATTTGACTGACGTTCTGCATGTCAAGTCATTGCATTTGAACCAATTCAATGACATAGAAACATTACCAAATGGAGTTAATAATAATACAAAAGAGAAAATACAGGGATGCAAAGAAAAAAGAGGAATTCAAATAAAAGGGGTGCCTAATCGATATCCCCCTCCATAAACACACCCCCAAAAAAAAAAAACAATACAAAAAAAAAACAACAACAACAACAACAACAAAAAACAAACAAACAAAAACAAAACAAAACAATGCAATTCATACAAGCTGAATATTTATAAAAATGACGACATGAACAAGAAGCTAGTCTGGTAAATATTGGAACTAACAATGTTGAGAGTATTAACTACACATGTAAGTACAATGACACAAATAATTGTCAAGTTCAAAATACATGTAAAATCCTTCCCTTTCTTTTCTTTTCTTTTCTTTTTTTTTTTATAAAAATCAAAATTTTGAGTGAGGCATTTGCCTCACTTAACTGACACACTGGCTGTTGCAGCACTAGCTTTGTAGTGGTTCACAAAAAATGGCTGCTCCGGGTGAGGCTCGAACTCACAACCTCCGCATTCCTCATCCTGTGTGAACACAGGGAAGGTACTGTCTATAAGTACGGCGCGCTAACCGATTGTGCCACCGGAGCTGCTCGACCGCCATGCCGTAGAAAAGGACTAATTAGACGGAGTTAATTCCCTTAGTCGGGTTGGCACCTTAAATTTTGAAAAGTTAAAAAATAATTTGGAAACTTGTGGATTTTTATCTCCTCGAGAAAAGAAATCATTCTTGCGTGTTGTCGAATCTGGTCATGAATATTTATAACATAAATAAATCCGCCCACATTAATGGGCGGGATTTAACTATTTAATCGATAGAAAACTTCGGAATGTTTGATGCTTAAAAACTTCAATAAACAGGTACTCTTCACTGAAAGCTAGTTGGCAACTTGTATTCAGCACATTTAACATGTATTATTCTAATAGCAAAACATATTGTACAATTTGAAATGAAGAAGTTAACTAATCACACTGCTCTTAACCTTGAAATGAGTCGCCATAAATGTAAAAAAAAAAAAAAATTCTCTAAAATAATCTACACGCACAAAACACAGACAGAAACCAGTGTACATTGCTGTTTAATCCATATTAATAATTTCATTAACTTATACATGTAAGCTGAAAGTTTACAAAACTATAAATATATGCATGCATACGACATTTTTATGTAATATTGACAGCTGATGGAAAGCCAAATAAATTGTCAATATCTTTTAACATCCAGTTCATTTCATTGAATAATTTGACTTAAAAATACTAAGATCTAATAAATAAAAATTTAAGGAACAGAATCATTTTAAGAGATGCTTAAAAACAAGAGATACGGATGACGGTGGCGGATATTGAGTTTTCTTCCTGTGATCTATACCCACATCCTGTGGAGAACGGCCAACAATCAAAATCACCTCATCTCTAACAAGGAAGAATTGTCCGTACTTTCCTTTCCTTTTATTATAACTGGCATACACTAAAGCCAATAACTATCATACTTAAGCATGAAGATCTATAATATTGTTGCAAATGATGGAGTCCATCCGATCCCCCACCCGCACCCCCCACCCCCATTCTTAAAATCTTATACTTAAAAAAAAAAACTCTGTAGAAAACTAAGATGATCTTTCACAGTTGAAAAAAATTCGGTTCCTTTTGTCATGATCAGAATTTAGATATAATAACTAGGTATATAAACAAAAATATTCTGTATTTACATAATTTTAGTAATGTATGCATGCAGGGTTATGCAGTGAAATTACAATGCATTACTGAACTTCTATCCAATAAAAGCACTATAAAAGGGGGGGTTGGGTTGCCTTTTTTCACAGTAGACAAAATTATCAAGTCACCAGATATATTTTTACACCATTCTGAAACGTGAAAAATTCAGATACGACAAAATGAGCAGTTGTCAAGGGCAATATCAATGTATTTTTGATTATTATTTGAGGACATTTTATATAAAATATTTATCTAATTCCATTGTTAGTATTATTATTTTCACTGAAACACTGAATACATGTAATATTGGAAAGAAAATATTGATGAAGACATAGTACATGTATGTTTACATATTTTTACATATGATAGAAAAACATGGACAAATAATTCTCGTCCGTCCTGTTTTAATATCTAAAAATATTTTTTTTAATGTTTTTTTTTTTTATATGGGGACAGGGGTGCAGTTTGAACTACTTTGCACATAAATAGCACCTTTGACAGATTACGGGAAAACGGCAAGAACTCCTGGAACGTAAAAAAGGGGGCGTGGCACTATTGTAAATGGTATAACAACCTGTTCATTGCGCGTACAAACGGCGAGTTATGTTTTTATCTATAGGTATTTATATAAGCAACATTTATACATATGTTGGTTATTAGAATTTTGTGCAAATCATAGGTTTATTGCCCAAATTTCATGTTGGGATCCGTTTTTGACAAGTCTCGTGACAGCTCTATCGTATAGAACGTTACCCCACGAGAACTGGGCTCAGTGAAAAATGGCGATGAATTACGACGGCATGAATGGAAACGAAATGGACACTTCGGACTCAAGAAAAAGGCCATTGGAAACAGAAGTAGATAATGGGG